TTTGAGCGTTGATTGCCGGTAATTTCCGCTTATCTATATCTGGTTTAAACACAAAAAATGCCCTAATTTATTTTATGTAGTATAATTATTATATTAATAACATACTGATAAGCACAAGTGTCACCATTTGAACATGTTTATTATTGAAACACGTCATTTAGCGCATGACATCAGAAAGATAAAGGAAATACTGTGTATATCATTTTCCCGTCATTGATGTCATTTTTTGTATACCTTTACAAACTTATATTAAAATGACATTACGAGGATATCTTCCCATTTTGCTTTATTCACTTTGAGAAAATTCCAATTCACTTTAAGAAAATTCCAAATTTAAAGTTTAAAATAGGATAACGACAAATGTTACAAAAAACGCAAATAGCTGGATGTTTACGAAGTGTTTTTGTTGCTATTTCTACACTTTTTTAAGCCAGTTGCTTTCTTATTTTGTCCAAAAATTCACTCATTAAAGCTGAATGCAGTTATTATTTTCTGTTGGAAGAACTATTCTGTGTTGTTCCAAACTAAATGAATCTTGGAAAAGTGCATCATATCGTTAATAATATAATCTGGGTAACAAAGTGATCCCTCGTAAGCCATCTTCACAATAGTGTCCAGTGAGCTATTTATAACGCAAAAGTGATGTTCGTTTGTACCGCTTTACCTATTAAGTTATCGAGAGGTTATTGTTTATGTATTTTATCGTTGGCAAATTTCATTTTCCAGTTTAATTATTTTGATTGACAATTATATGTAACGATTTACCGGTACCTAAAAATATCATATTAAACTTTTAGAAAAGCTTAAGGCCACAATATATAGTAATATGGTACTTTACAGTAGGATATTGACTTTCTGATATAGATTCTTATAGCGTGTTTTATACGTAACCAGTAGTAGCAATCTATGTGCGGATTTGTTAGGTTTTGATGTATGGTCTCATTTAACACCATTCACTCTGAATGATTGTTTGTACTGGTTTGTTAAATATATAAAGATCATGTCAGTCATGGCAACATATTCTAAGTTGTTCCTCATTATTTCCAGATATTATCTAACTTGCATAACCACATAGTTGTTCCATATCTGCAACATACGTTAAACATTGTATATGTTATATTCAAGTGGTAAAGCTGCATACCGCCAGATGAGTCATTTATGAGTCAAAATATTTCAAAAAAATCAAATTTGGTAAGATTTTCAAGTAAAATGATTCAAGATTCAAGTAATAACTTAAGTAATACGTTATGCTCTATAAATGACTCGTGTATAGCACTTATCACCATATTTCTACTGCATTAATAATACAGTATGGGATAGTTTGCATATTTTGGTGATAAACATGATATGAGCTCCATTTTTATCGTGTTCGCTTCTCCAAAATATTTTGCTTTTAAATCCATTTTCAAAATTTTCATGAAAATAAGTATGACATCTGGAGGCGTTCTGCTTTACAATTCTCATCAAATGTTTATAAGTTTGTTTGATGTTTAAAGCTATTGCATATTAAGTATAAACTAAACATACATGCTACGGGTGTATCATGAAATATACGATACATTTAAATCCAGTCAGTTTCTACCTTATTTCCAACGAATTTAATACGTTTCTAGAATTGGTGTAGTTTTAACAAATTAAAGAAGAAAAATTTAAACTACTGCGGAGAAGTTTCTCAAACTTTGCACGGTTAGAGAGAATCATATTTGAATCAATAGTTGAAAAACATTATTGGAAAGGGGGCACCGTTTTGCCTTTTGAATTATCTGGCCCTCCCTGAGTTATTCCCCTTTCAAAGAACATTGTTCTTGGTAATAAATGATATTTCTTTTATTTTTCTGTAAATGTTATCTTTCAAAAGACAATCATTTACAACAGGATAAAGTCTCTTCATGCTATCATGTTGTGTAAATGTAGCAAAATACAAACACAATTGCTATTTGTATGTCTACAGTGAGATTCTTATTGACCCAATTGTATGTGTTTGCAACTGTTTAAAGTGAAACGATAATGTACATTGAACATATTTTACTTCAGTGAAGTTCAAGAAATGCGCATTTCTGGTAAACATCATTTTGAAAAGCATAAATGCTCGTGCACTTGCTGGTAAAGTTAAGTTGTTTAAAATTCTGTATAATATATTAGTGTGACAATTTTCATTAAAATGTAACATTAAATTGTGAAAGAAATCCGGAGAAAAAGTGATCATTCGGAACTATTGATCACAAGAAAATTTTATTAAATTGTACAGTCTGTTTGATTTAGTCTGTGTATGACAGAAAATGAAAAAGCGCAATATTCTTGACGCCTTCTAGCACCGGCTTGAGTGGTACTAAAAAGTGCTGGAATCTGCCCGAAGGACCAAACAAATATGATAGCACTGAAGTAAAGAATCTTTTCATACGAAATATTTTTGAATATTTAACAAAATCTTAATTATTTACGTAAATTATATAAGAGGTATCTTTCAAGGATACTTTATTCTTAATTAACTTCATTATCATGCAACAAAAGATTTATTTGAATTTTCAAATGAATTTAAGCACACATTTGTATCATGTATCTAATTAGGTACACGATGTAAAATATTTCACTATGTTTGGGTTTTATTCCTAACATCAAATGATGTTTGTAACATTAATGTATTGTCAGCATGTAATATCCACGTTATAATGGTAAATAGAAGTACGCTAAAGTGGGTCAAACGTAATGAATATATAAGTACAATAGCATAGTCTCAAATGTCATAGGTAGCATGACATGTCATTTATTTATGGTAACAAAAACAAAGAGGTGGTCACATTAGCAATTTTTATATCTGCAACAACCTTTTGAATTTTTTAGAACTACCTTTTATCGGAACACCTTTGTGTTGTTATGTTTTCACATTTTTAAAAGGGAAATTTTTCATAATAGTAAATGTAAAAGACCCCGAAATCGCAAAAGAGCTAATTGAGTTTGCTATCCCCCCTTTATTTCTATTTTTTTAATTCTTACAGTAGGCGACAAGTGGTAATATGGTTGCTGTGACATCTTTCATCTAAGCATCAATGTAATTTGATAATTTATTTACACACTTTCAATGTTGAAGATTGAAAACTGTATACATCGGTACGTGGGGGCGTGATATATGTCACACTTATCATGAAGTCTACTAGAGATTTCTACGTAAATCATTATTTCAGGATACCGAATTGGGAGCCACTAAGTTAATATACAAATGTGACTTAATTTAATCTTCAAGCAGTACCACAGTTTATTTGTCTTGTTAAAATGACTTATATTCTTTATATATGTTACTTCATTCATACTAGATATTGGCTAATACTTTCTTTGTTAAATATATGGATGGTTCGAATCATTTGTAAATTAATACCCATGATGTGCAATATGTTTCAAACGTGTCGTTCATACCTATATCTATTTAACGTTTTATAGCTACACAATTGTTCAACATTTGTAACATATGTGATACATTATGTATTCTATCATCATAAATAATCCCGCGTACCAAACGCTCTATGCTTGCTACATGCTGTATATTGCATATGTAGACTATATTTTAATAAACAGTTTTACTGACTCATAAGAAGCTTAGTTTACAACAAATGTCATAATTTTAACCCGTCACAAAATTCACTGTAAGACATTGCATATCAAGTAATTACATCACAGGGTCACTCACATAGAATTATAAGAGTATCTACATATGTATGACCTGACTATGCGTCGCAATGACGTTTTCTATTACAGCATATAAGTAATAGCACGCTCAGTTTAATTTTTAAGTTAAAGTAAGTTTCTGATGAAATAAATGTCCATTTAAGAAAAATATTTAAAGTGACATTTTGCCCATCCAAGGGTATATACTGAGTAAGCGGGTGAATATCAAAATAAGTTTACACATTGCCATAATTCCTTTTAATTTAATAATTAAGTTCGCATAAACAATAAATAACAAAATTTCTGTACACATCCATCATAAATTCCATCTAACGCGTAGTTTATAAAAAGAGTGGGGCAGTCGTTTTAGATTTTAGGCAGATTTATAATTTTACTCAAAACATTTGCCAATATCAACTGTTGGTCAATCACCATTTTGTCAGTTAATCTTTTGAAATATAAAGTCAATTCAGCTCAATTTGACTATGATAATATGAGCATAACGTCACTTTAAGTTAACACTCTGACTCTGTGTGTAAGTTTGGTTGTCTGTACGAAAAACATTTAATATTTAGGTTTTAAATTATAATCGGCTTTATTAATGTATTTGTGCCACGATATAATTTATTTACTACATTATAAATACTTAAATACCAGCGCTATGATCCCCTGTCTTGTAAATATACTTTTAAGGTATTATCTAAACATCCTTCGCAAATATATGTTTGCAATGTCGTTTGAGTACAAGTTTGATAATAATAAACAAGAAAATCATTGATGTCAAACTTGAAAAGGCGGTTGTAATAAGATGCCAAGTTAAAAGTTGGTACCTTTGCGTTAGAAGAATGTGATTGATAAAGTCAGTCATAATGTGTTGAAACTTGCTTAACAGTTAAGTTATGTTGGTTTTGTAAGCGGAATGGAATGTTATTAACACATATGACTATTGCTCGAAAAACTGAATAAAACATTCCGGAACAAAATACTTTTATCTATTCAAAGTAAGGTTTTAATCCCTTTGCTAAGGAAATAAACAAACATATTTTTAATGCAAATTAGAATGATATGTTTTGCAGCAGACATCATGGTATCTTTTTACATTTGGTTAAAAATTAATTTGGATAGATAGGTCAAATGTATATATTTGCACTTTGGGTATAATATGAGCTTAACAATTTAAATCTTTAGGAAAAATCTATTTAAATTTGTAATATGCGAAATAAAATAATATAAATTGAACACTAGATGTTTTTTGGAGAACTAACAGAATAAGAGAAATATTTTAGATTGTCATTTTATGGTCCTACTCTCTGGTGTATCAGGTGTATAAATTTCGTTATTTCAGACGATGCTTACAATCTTCTTTTTACAATAACTTTAAATGGTTTTGGTGAGAGAACAAGTCCCCTAGTAGGATCAAGGTTAAGGTCAGACCCACCAGCTTTCTGGAACGAACAACGCTGTAACAATGTTGCAATAACAATAAATATTTTCATTTTTGCAATAGTTTCGCCAGGGCATTGTCGTCTCCCCGCACCAAATGCCATTATATGAGAGCACTTTACCCTGTCAAGATTTCCAGAATCATCAAGAAGCCTTTCGGGCCTAAAGTTTTCCGGATCTCCCCAATATGATTCTTCGTGTGCTACTGAATGCAGGTTAAAAAAGACAACAGTATCTTTGTCGATGTCATATCCTCGCAATTTTGTGTCATGGAGGGTAAGATGAGGGATAGCGAAAGGAACTATTGCAGTTTTTCTCAATACTTCGAGGACTGTAGCCATTACGTATGGAAGCTTAGCTTGGTCATTGCCCGAGATATTTCTACTGCTGCCCAATTCTTGATCTATCTCTTTCTGAGCACGCTCTTGGACATCTGGAAAAGTAATCAAATATAAGATGATAAACATGATTGTGCGACTTGTCGTATCGAATCCAGCACCTTGCAATGATAAAATTTGAAATTGTAAAAGCGTGGCTGATAGGGTATCACCGGTACCATTTTCTGGCAAGTCGTTTGACAGATCACATAAAGCATCTAAAATATCCCGCGTTTGTCCAGTTTGAAATGAAGTTCTGTGTTCCGATATCTTAGATTTTGTTATCGAGTCTGTTGCGGTTATCGCTGCTTTGAATTTATCCACCTCCATTTTCATGATATACCTTAACCATGGGATAACGTCTACTAAATTACCAGAAGAGACAAATTTGTTAAAGGTCTCAGTTGATTCAATTATTAAGTTTAAATGTGGTTTTATTTCGTCTTCTTTCCCTCTGCCAAATAGCATCTGGTATAATGCACTTATAACAGCCAACTGAATATCTAAATCGATGGATACGGGTTCATCAGGTGGATATCTTAACAGTTTTTCCGTCAATTTTTCGGCTTCTTCCCGGAACAAATCATTTGGAGAATAATCACACTTGTTCACGTATTTTCTCATAGCCATAGTTGTTCGTTTTCTAAGCTGTAGATACTTTGGGGTAAAGTTACAAAACGTTATACTTTCAAGACCATCGAATGATTCCCTAATAGCAATTTCTGTAGCAAATTCAGGTCTTCCAGAAAAGACATCATCCTTTCGCTCCGCTGCATCTTTAATGGCTTCGTATCCATTGACAATAATTGTATTCCAACTACCAAAACGGATGCTGAAAATATCTCCGTATTTCTGTCGCCATTTTGAATATTTTAGCTCCGGTTTGTTACTTAACAAAGGCAGGTGTCCAAATATAGGAAATCCCCAAGGTCCAGGGGGATATCGTTTTTTACTAAACCACTTTGCCCACCATGAAGCCAAACACAGTGTAATGAAAGCCAGTAATATACCACTTACAGAAATTGATATATCCATTTTTATATGAAGTATAATAAACGATGTAAATGTGAACAATATTGACAACCTAGATAATGAACTCATGCCTATAGCTATACATTGATATAAATATCTGCTTGTTTAAATATGGCCTCAAAGGTAAATACCGTTTGTACAGTATGTAGTCGTGTTTATCATAAACCGGTTTTACATATTTAACTCAAACACTTAAACAGTTTGAGAAATAAGTAAATCAATATCCAAAATCCATGTCAGATTGTTAATACTATATTCTAAATAAATGGGAAAAACTTTTTGTTTTAATATTATTTTATGTGACCTCTTCATGCCGGATTTATGCCATGCGTATTTTCGCTCCGCCAAACTAAAATACGGAATATGACAATGTAGACATTTTATCGTACTTTTACTACGTGGGACGCACGATAAAAACTATACCACAAAGTCACCAATTTATTCTACTTTCGATCTGCAGGGCGCAAGGCGAAAACACTTAAATACGACAGTCAGCACTTTGTCTTTTTTGTGTTTTCGCCTTTCACTTTGATGACATGCTACTTTACAATGAAATACATGCATACAAATCAGATACAATTTTTACAGAGTTTTTAACATCATTGCAATTGAGAAAAGAAAATATCTGCATTTACATTAAAATACGCAATTATTTATTCTAATAAGAAACGTGAGTCTATTTCGTTTTCTTTTTCCCTAATGTTTTACCGTTTCTTTTCATTTTCTTTTTGCTTTGGTTTGCTTTTTGTTTGTTTGTTGTTTTTGTTTTTTTTTCTTGTTGGTCGGTCCTTTTTTACGACATTTAGAGGTTTTACACATGGCCACTCAACTGCTTAATGTAGGATATATTTAACATTACAGTGATTCAATGCATGAAATGTAATGGTATTTCACGTTATAGAATTTACGTGCAGAGGTTTAGTGTAAATACTTGGTATAAATTGACATTATCAAACTTCACAGCGTGGTGTCATTCCCTCTGTATCTTTAACTTAAATATTGAAACAAATTTGTGCTATTATAATTCTACTTCATAAAATATTTTAGTTTAATAAATGAACATTTGATCAGAGATTGATTCACTGCATATAATTATATGAACTTTGCATTATAAACTGATTTATCTATTGCATAGATGCTATAACGGAAGCAGTTAACTTCATTCTTTGGTCGAAACGCATTAATCAAATTTGACAAATTGTATAAAAGAGAGAGGAAAACTTTGTATTTCTTTACATTCAGACATTTATATTGGTGAAAACCATAATTATATTTGGATTGTTGATATATATAGGTAATGCTTTACTTGTAAAACATATTACTCTGATAGTTGATAATATTTAAAGTAATTATACATTGTTCAGTACAATACTGAATACACAGCTGTCAAACCTATATTGCACAAGGAGTTAGCCGATTCCAACTGAATTATTATTGTTCCCAACAAAGTATAATGATATCTTTATTTCACAAATCCATTTTTGACATTTTAACAGAACTTTACTCGTCAAATATTATTCAGTATTGTACCCAACAATGTTAAAATCCTCATAATATTATCACTTGGTGCAATAACTGAAAGCGCATTGGTTTAATTTTATAAGGCTGTATTTAATATACTAAAGATTGTATGATTGGATCAAACGTAGAAGAACCGTCTATAAATGTATATGAACACTTTAATATTTCCGGAATAAAAAATAATCTTATTTTTAATTTCTGGTTATATATTTTTAGTTGGATTTACACTCAAAACTATTTGTTGTAAAGAATACCATTAAATAATATTGAAAGGGACCCCATATGTATTTTTTTGACATGGCGAGATTTGATTTTTTTTCCTGATTAAATGTACCATTTCATGTTGATCTGGATCAATAACTTGTATACAATGTTCCAGATCATCCGGTCACTCTCTTATTCCAGAATAATTGTTTTAATTGTGAAAAATGACTGAAATTGAAAAACGTTGAACACATTTAACTCAAATCAGGTAAAGAAAGTAAAATAAAACGAATTTTGATTATGTTCATATACTTTGAAAATTTATTTATTGCCATTTGCAAAACTCTTCTTTTTAAGAGCAGTAAATGCTATGTACGAAATTCAACCGTATTGTTTTAGTCATGTGATCTTCAGTGCAGTGGAGTTGCTAAAATAGATTAATAAACATGTTTATCATATATTCATTCTTTCTCTTTCATTTTTTCCTTGCATTAATCAGTTAAATGATTATTATAATTGAACTCGTTCTGTCACATAGCTTGCCAGTGTTAGTTGAACATTGTCCATTTTAGACTGTTTTACCACAGGAAATTTGTTAAGCATTAATTTTTATAATGATTTGATTGTTTTTCAGATGATTTGAAATTGTAAAATGGCGGAGGCATTGATAGAACTCTGTTACACTCATCCACATCTTTATAAACTTTGTAACAAAGTCAAGTGTATACCATGGCAACAAAAGTGCCGTGAGTGTAAATTTCTCTATTTCATTTTAACGTTGCATTACTGCTAATTCTTGAATATTAAAATATTTCTAGTACAATTTGACATATGAGTACTGTGAATTGTTTGTTTTGAGGCACATAAACATTTTATTTTATTTCATTTATTGCCAAATCGGCATTTCAAATGCCTTTTACCATTTCCACATGAAGAATGTCAAATGAAGACTGGATACGCCTATTCGTAAAATTTACGCTCGAGCAATTACTTAATTGGTCTTACAGATCTCTAATTGTACTATAACGTCTACACACCGCAGATATATTTGTAATCACTTTGTCATTTTTGTTTTAAGCATGTAATGCGGAATCAGAATTTCAATGTTCTCTTGGAAATTGTATTCCTCTAAAGTTAAAGTGTGATGGGCTACAACAATGTATGTATGGTGAAGATGAAGAACACTGTTATTTGACAAATACAACTGAAGGTGGGCTTATCAGCACGCTGTTTCTGTAATATGATTTTGCAATGAGGTAACTGAGGAGCTGTCAGGTTTTTATAAATATTAATTTTTAAGACTTTTTAGAATGCTCCATCCACGTACTTTTTCATAGTTCGCATCCATGGTTACGCTTAATTTACAACGATAGAGAAAGATTATGAATTAAATAAGATTAAGCTTCGGGGGTTCGCTCACACATAACAAATATAATTAGGGCTGGACGGGCATGTTTATGCTTCTCAGTAATACATTATTGTACATACTAGCTTTACTGATGTTGATTTATATACAATGGACTTAATATGATGTACTTTAGACACCAAAATTGCCTATATATATCTCAGGTAAAGACTTAATAGCTTTTAACAGGTATAATGAATTGTTTATCATTCTAGTGACGGAGATACCAAATGTTGAGGTAACAGATAGCTATAAACCAGAGCCGACGACTTCAGATGAGGGGTTGTCTTTACCAGAGATTGCAACTGTTGGGTCTTTTTCCGTGTTCATTATAATTCTTTTGTCCATTCTTCTATGTTTCTTTACCACAAGTAGACAGGAAAAGGACACGTCCAAAGAAACAAAGTCAGGTATTACAAATAATTATAGGTTATTTAGTGTTGAACAGTACAACACGAGAATAATTATACATATCTGGACGAGAGACCATATTGCACGAGCTGAAAATAGGTCTAAGTATATCTCTTATTGTTCAAAACACTATTATCAAAATCAAACCCAAACATCACAATATCCTTTTTGCTGGTTGTATTATTGCGTTAGCGTGGAAATGGTCAAACACACACAGCTTTGAGGTATTTGTACGTTTATTGAAAGAGATACGCTGAAAGTGTAGCTTTGTAATGATAAAATTATATGTGAATATAGTCAGTACAACTCGGTCATAATCTAGCATAAATGTGAATAATGATATCATTACTGTATTCCTAGAAAAGATTTCGCGCGTTTTAAGTTACCGCTTTTCGCGGCAGGCATGATTCCGCGAATCTTTATAGCCGCGAATATGTCAGTTATAACAAATTCGCAAATATTTCTAGCTTCAACCAAATATAAACATAAAAATGCAGAATTTTTATTATATTCTTACTTGCGGATACATACAACATTGATAAATTATAATGAGAGCGATGTACAGTCGGATACTGTTTAAGTAGCACGACATTACCGTTATATAAATCCAGACGTCTGGACCGAAAAATAAACAGGTAAATTTTCCAGCTACTTTTAAGAAATACACACGTTCTAGTTTATATAATTTAAGGTCAATCATGAATGGCATGAATTGCTGAATCATTAATGTGCAACAATATTGCTAAGCTACCTAGGACAATTTGATTTATTTTTATCTGGTTTAAATGCATGAGAAGTGTTAATAAGTCATTATCATCATGGCGGTGTTATTTCACATAACTCTTTCTTTTTATATCAGTTCGTCTCGATTTTGATTATATATTTATGTCGTTATAATTGTGTTATCTCTGTTTAATATTCAAGCTGTGCCTTTACAAAATAGTTTGAATGATATATATTCATCTCCCCTGCTTTCGATTAAATAAAGACCATAAGAGTTTAAAATACTAGCGTTTTAAATTTTAAAAAAGCTTTCTATTGTTTGTGTCCAGCAAAAGTTACCAACCCCGCTACTTATTGTCGATATTTTGATCATTTTGCTTTTTTTGCAATCCGTACATTATTGACATGTCGTCGGTTACCCATAGTATTATTATCTAGAAAGTGTAGTATGTACGAAATATATACCTTATGTAATCGACAATGTGTGTTAGTAGTCAAAATAGGAAGTCAAAATATCACTTTGTGTTATTTTTGCTACTTTTATGACAAATAATTTCACTTTCATTGCTACTTAAATGTTGTAATCATCTGACATATCATAAATCTGTAGGCGCAGCTGTGACCACTTTGAGAAGTTGGAAATTGCAAACAATTCACCTTTGTTATTGGCAAATGTATGTTAGTTTAAATACCTATAATACCTTTGAATTATAACAATAAATAAAAAGAAATGATATAAATGTTCATATCACCAAAAGAATTTTTTAAAGATTCAACTTGAATGTAACACCAAATAGAAAAAAATGAAAGAGGTAGATCATCAGGGTGTCATTTACACCTCACAGAA